TGTTTTTTTTTTTTTTTTTTTTTTTTTTTTTGCTTGTTTTGTTTTTGGCAGCTGGTGGGTATGGAGACCTGAACCCTTGACCTTGGTTTTGTAACACCACCCTCTAACCAACTGAGCTAACCAGCCAGCCCTTTAGCTAATATTTGAATGCTTGCTATGACCAGGCATGAAACTAGGTAATCTCCACGCCCAATCTCATTGAATTAAATAATTTCCTCTGGCCTTGGAGACTTGTTAGCATCCCCTGCCACATGGGCTCAGTTGTCATCAAACGCTGTGTCTCTTGCTACTTTCTGCAACTCTGCTGTCTTAGGGGAGGAAGTAACTTAGGCCTTATGGGAACTATGGGTAGCCAGGCTCCTGTCAGCAGCCCACTTCCAGACCTGTGGCAAGATCTTCAGCAGGATCCTGCCCTCCATAGCCACTTCTTCTGCTCCCCCACCCCCCAGCACAGTATCTTACCTAATGGAGAAGACACATATGTCTTTTCTCTGCCTGTGCTGCACCCAGAACACTTCCTGGCCGGCACAGGTACTCAGATTTGACTGATGAATGAATAAATAGTCCACAGATTCTGGAAGTTCTTCAGCCAAACATCCTTCTGTCGTGAAATTTGTACTAAGTATTCAGAAAAAAATAATAATAAATTTTACTAGCAGGACTTTAAATCTGCAGGACCATTTGCCAGAAAAAGAAAGGCAGTGTGACTTTTTTTCAGTCAGAGATCAATGATTTGATTTTTGCAAGGCTGACTACTTTGTGAATGCCTGGGAAAGTATCTGTTGGAAGCAGCTCATTGTTGTACCTTTGGGAGAGTGGAGACCTTTCAATATACACTAAATTTTCAAAACCTTTAATGAATCTGTCATTTTGTAATTAAAATTATAAAAGGAAAAATATAAATAAGATTGTGAATTCCTAAAAAAAAATACCAACTAAATGGGATGGGCCATCAAGGCGCTGAGTCCTTGTGGCTGGGTTCTTTGAGGAACTCTTTTCTCCATCTCTAAGGGTGTTGTACTAGGGTGAAAAGCTGTCCTTTACTGTACCAAATGTGCATGGCACACATGTGCCCAGCCTGGAGGTAGGCGTTATTATCTCCAGGTTCAGTTGAGGAAGCGACTCAGAGAAGATGAGAGAGTACAGGCAGACCCAGCATGGGGACCCAGGCACCTCTGCCATTTGTGGCAGCCTCTCTGCTGCTCCATATGCTCCCCAAGTCCCCAAACCTGTAGGTCCACGTGATCAGATTCTTGCAGCCCAACCACTCTGTTGAAGGATGTTTCCCTGGGGTGAGTCATTGGAGCTCAGGGACTGCTGTCCTGCCAGGGGCAGAGCTGCACTCCACTGGGGTCCCAGCTCAGGGGATTGTCCTCCTAAACCACAGCAGACATGCCCAGGGGCAGCCCAGCAAGGAGGGCTGGGAACTGCTCTGCATCTCAGAAGAATGTTGGTAGGGGTGAGTGGGTGAGGGTGTAGTGGAGTTCTGGACTCACAGTAGGAAGCTTGGTTCCTCTGCTACCTGCCAGCCTCATGACCGAGGCAACTCCTCCCCTCCATGCCTCAGTTTCCTCATCTGCACATTGGAGCCATCATTGCCTGGTTTAGATAAATCACAGTGCTATAATTGGTAGGTCTGGCCCAGGGAGGGAAATGGAGATTGTTATTGGTCACTCTCTGTCTCCTCTTCTCTTCTCAGATTCAGGGCAGGGTCCTGCTCTTCACCATCTGTGCAGCTGGCATTGGTGGGACTTTTCAGTTTGGCTACAACCTCTCCATCATCAATGCCCCAACCTTGGTATGTACCTTCTGTGCCCACCGTCACCATCTGAGTGGGTGCTGGGCAAGGGCCAGCAGCTGCCAACTGCAGGGCTTCACCCAGCATCCACTTAATGGTACTTTCTCTCACATGTCCCTCTCCATTGGGATGTCCCACAGGCTCCTGCAGGTTCAAACTGAACTTTGCGTCCTCCTCCAAACCCACACATCCTCCTGAGTCCCTAATCTAAGCAGATGACTCTACCTTCTACCTGGTGATGGGGGTTAGCGTTGATTCCTCCCTTGCTTTCTCAGGCACCAAGTCCCTCCCAACTACCTCTAGTATTCAGCCATTTCTCCCCGTGTCTCTGTCATGACCCACTTCAGACCCCGTTGATCCTGCCTGGATCACTAGCCCAGCCTCTTCACTGGCCTCCCTGCTCTCGGACTCTCCCCTTCTCAATCTCCTCAAGTGTGGAAAACCACTCCCCAGCCCAGAAATGTTCTGTGGCTCCCCAGTGCCTATAGGAGTAAGGACTGACTCATCCACCTGAAGTTCAAAGTCTCCTGGGGTCAGCATCTTTCTTTCTGTCTCCCAGCTTTGTTCTCCCAACTCTGATAAAGCAGATTAAATGTACGTCCCCAAGTATCCATGACACAGCCCTTTCCTCTGAGCCTCCTTCCACGGGGAAGCCCACTCAGTCCCACCTGCAGAAGCCCTTCAAGAACTATCCCAAATATCACCACCTTCCTGAAAGCGTCCTTCCCTCCCCAGCCCTTGGTGTGGGCTGTCATCACTCAGGTTGTGTGTTGGCTGTTTTTGTCTGAGTCATCTTTGAGTCCCCAGCACCTGACACTGGTCTGGCCCAAGTTGATGTTCAGTGAGTGACTGAAAAAGATGAATCTTTCAGCCCCAGTGATAGAAGCCCACCCCTAACTTGCTTAAGGAAGAAGAGCAAGTGTCTGGTCATGTAGCTGTAAAGGATGTGAGGCTGTGCGCAGCATGGGGGGAGGGGCTACAGGCACCAGACCCCAGGACGGAGCTGTGACAGAAGAGCACAGTTCTCCACCCAGTGGGCAAGAGAGCAACTGTCACCAGATTCACTTTGTGCCATCTGGAAACAAAAGTCTTGCAAGGTCTGGGAAGAGTCTGACTGGCCATATCTGGGTCATGTGATCACCTTTATGGGGGCATTACAGGCTGTAATTGACAACCAGAGAGAACTTCCCCAAAGAAATGTCTATTAGCAGAAGATAGAGATGGGAGCATATTCAGGGCAGAACACAATTAATAGCAGCCCACCACCTTAAAGAAAGGATAAGATGAGAGAGCTCAGAAAGGGAGGTCTGAGCTGGTTGTATTGGTTTATTTTATTTATTCATTCAGCAAACATTTAGTGCCCACTTCAATGCTGACTCTCAGACTGGAGAGGAATCCATATATGGCAGGGCACTCTCAAGACTTCACCTGCTGGGGGCCATCACCAGCCCCTGCGAATGAGACTTTCTTGGGCTCAGAAGCTCTCCCTAACCTGCTGTATGGTATTAAAGAAAATATATTATTCTAACTGTTAAAGAAAAATTATTCAATGACGTTTGTTAAAGCACAATAAGGAAGACTTCATTCAAGGGGGGCCATGGCAATAGGTGTAGGGACCACCACAGTGGGGTCCTGCAGTGGGGGAGAGAGATTGGACTTGACTCTGAATACAACATAGGCAAGTGCAAATTTATAGTCAAGGAGTAGGGTGGGGGTGTACCAAACAGGGCTTGTTGTCTGATGCACAGCAAGCCAAATACTGACGCTGGTCTTTGCAGCAGATAAAAAGGTTTATTTGCAAGGCCACCAAGCCAGAGATGGGAGGAAAAAAAAAATATATCAAATCCATTTTCTCAATAGCAGGAAAGAAGGATTTATGAGGAAGTGGTTAGGGGTAGTGCAAGGCATGGGGGATGGTGATTGGTTTCAGCAATCTGTGCAGGCATAAGCTGTATACATGCTTCTTCATGGGTTGCATATTCAAAAAATGGTGGCATTAGCATGATCTGGAGGTGAAGCTTTGGCCTCACTCATGGGACTTTCCCATAGGCTGAGTGGAGGTCCGCAGGCTCAACCAGTTGGCCTAGTTTGTGTCGGGCCATGCTAACTCCAAAGCCTCTGCAAAACACCCTGGGCAAACATCTTGTGACTTCTGCCCCAGAGGTGTTATCTTAAAAGGCAGACA